TTTTACTTATTTACTGGTTGTTGACTGGTCCAGTTGGCTACCAGATATCCATTTCTCAGGTTCTACTGATTCATTTGTTTTCTCAATTTACTTCCTGTTTCTAATCTAACTTGTTTTCCACAGCAGAACTTCATTTTGTTTTGTATCCTCAGCCTGACTTTTTGGGCTGATTTATTAATGTGGTTGTTTTTGTTTATTTCAAAACATAACTTCTGCATTTGTTTTGTGTTGGATTGATTTCTATTAACTAGGGAATGCCAACCTTTTTTTACTTTTGCTCCTAAAAGTTTCATTACTGTAATTCATCTGTGGTATGTACACAAATTCCATAAACTTATTATTAATTTTAATTAAAGTTTACAGAGACTTTGGATTTCCATTCATACACTGTTGCACTTTTCTCCCTGCCCAACCTCCACCCCAGTTCGCTCTTCTCTTTGAAAAGTAAAATTCTTTCATTGTTATACAATCCCTCGCCCCAAATCTACTCCACTATGCAGGCTTCATTCTGGACTCCTGTCATAACAATACCTAATCATATACCCTTTTAAACAGTTATCTCCCTCATCTGTTTCAATGCAGTATACATAATTTAACCCCTTTCTCACTCTCCCTCCCCCCAAACCCGTTCTCAGTTCCGTTTTACAACAGTGGCATTATACAGTATTTGACCTTTTGTGACAGATATTTCACTCAGCAAAATGTCCTCCATGGTCACCTATTTTTAACATTATTTCATTAGTTGTTTTTCACTGCTACATAATATTCCATTGTGTGAATATACCACACTTTTTTTATCCATTCATTTGTTGATGGGCACTTAGGTTGTTTCCAACTCTTTGCTATTGTGAACAAAGCCACAATAAACATAGGTGTGCATATAACTGCTTGGGTGGTGGTTATGGTTTCTTTGAAGTATATTTCCAGTAGTGGAATTGCTGGATCAAATGGTATTTTTAGTTGCAACTTTTTGAGAAAGCATAATCTGCCTTCCATAGTGGTTGCACCATTTTACACTCCCACCAACAGTGAGTAAGGGTTCCAGTTTCTCCACAACCTTGCCAGCATTTGTTGTTTGCTGTTCTGTTAAATTTTGCTATTCTTACTGGGGAGAGATGGTATCTCATCGTTTTGATTCGCATCTCTCTTAAGAGCTAGGGATTTTGAATATTTCCTCATGTGTTTGCTGTCTGAATGTCTTCTTTGGTGAAGTGTCCATATCCTGTGCCCATTTTTCAATTGGATTGTTTATCTTATTGCGGTGCTCAAGTATTTTATAAATTCTAGATATAAGTCCCTTATCTAACATTAACAATTGTTGTTGTTATGTGCCATCAAATCGCTTGCGACTCATAGCAACCCTAGGAACAATAGCCCTAAACTCTGCTCTGTCCTGTGCCAATCACAGTCTCCAATAACTCATTCCGATTACCCAAGTCACTGAATCAATCCACCTCATAGAGGGTCTTCCCCTCCTGCGCTGTCCCTCCACCCTCCCAAGCATGATGTCCCTCTCCACAGACTGGTCCCTCCTTACAACATGTCCAAAGTACGTCAGAATCCTTGCCTCCAAGGTGCAGCCCGTTTTAACCCTCTCCACGATGAATCTGTTTGTTTTCTTGGCAGTCCATGGTACATTCAATACTCTTCTCCATCACCAAAGCTCAAAGGCATCAATTCTTCTATCCTCCCTAGTCATTGTCCAAGTCCCTGATGCAAAGACCATGGCCTGTATCAGACGCACCTTTGTCTCCAGAGAGACACCATTGCTCTTCAGTGCTTTGAAGAGGTCCCTAAAAACAGACTTTCCCATCACAATACATCTTTTAATTTCCTGGCTGCTGATGCAAAGAGTGTTGACTATGGAGCCAAGCAAACTAAAGCTGTGAACAATCATAGTCTGTCACCACCCATCCTGATGCTGCCAAATGGTGCAGTGGTTAGAATCTCTGTCTTCTTGATACTGAGCCTCAATCCATATTGAAGGCTGCTGTCCTTGACCTTCTGCAGCAAACACTTCAGGTCCTCCTCAGTTTCAGCAAGCAGGGTTGTGTCATCTGCATAATGCAGATTGTTGATAGATCTTCCACCAATCCTGACACCACATTTCTCCTCATAGAGCCCAGACTCCCGGATAATGTTCTGCACACAGGTTGACCAAATCTTTTTCCCCAGTTTGTGGCTTCCCTTTTTATTCTGTTGGAGAAGTTTTTGATGTGCATAGGGATTTTACACTTAGAAGGTCCCATTCATCTATTTTATCCTCTTCTGGTTGTAGATTTTTAAGGATGCTTGGAAGTCTGTTTATGTTGTGGATTAGGACTTCTAGAGTTCTTCCAAGCTTTTCTGTAATGAAGTTTATAGTCCTTGGTTTTAGTCGTAGGTCCATGATCCACTTTGAGTTGGTTTTTGTATATGGAGTAAGGTGTGGATCTTGCTTGAGTTTTCTGCAGATAGTTTTCCAATTTTGTCAACACCATTTGTTAAAAAGGCTGTCATTTCCCCACTTAACTGACTTCATCTCCTTGTCAACTATCAGTTGATCATAGGTAGATGGGCTGATTTCTGGATTCTCAATTCTATTCCACTGATCTATGTATCTGTCATTGTACCAATACCACGCTGTCTTGACCAACATGGCAGTGTAGTAGGATTTGAAATCAGGGAGTGAGATGCCTCCTACCTTTCTTCTATTTTTAAGGAGTGCTTTGCTTATTCGGGGCTTCTTTCCATTCCAAATGAAACTGGAGATTGCCTTTTCCATCTCGTTAAAGAATGGAATTGGTATTTGAATTGCGAGTGCATTGAACGTGTAAATTGCCTTCGGTAGTATATTTTTATACTTCATTCTGGTGCTAATAATAATAGTCATTTTAATTTGGATATTTGCTATTTATAAACACTGTACTCATTGCTACTGGTGATGCATGTGATGTGGAAATTAAATTATTTGTAATTAGAATTCTGACAAATATCTGTATTTCTAAATTCCACATAAAAATGGGCAAAGGTATCTTATACTTGATTAAGAGTGATCTAACACAGGATGTAATACAGTATTCCAACAATACATGAAGGAAAAACCAAAGAGAACTGTTGCTCTTTTCTATCTTGCCTGAATAGGATTTTCCAACAATGACATGACACTGTTTTAAGACAGACCCTTAAGTTTTTCAATCTTAACTCTTTGGCAAAAGGCAATTGATCCTCTATGGATCATATCTTGATTTTATAAATTAGCTTGATCTAATTTATCACCTGTCCCAATGTCCACTTCACTATGATTCTCAGAAAACTTGGATAGTGTGGCTATTTTAAGAGGACATTGGATTCTATCAGTGGTTCTCAAAGTGCAGTCCCGGCCACCAGTATTACCACTGGGAACTACTTAAAAATGCATATTTTTTGGACTCCACCTACAGAGCTGGTTCTGTTGGGTATATGAGGTCACTATGAGTTGGCAACTAACATCACCTCCCTCAAAACCTATCAGAAGCTCTGGGATGGAGGGGTAAGCACTGATGCACACTAAAGTTTGAAAATCATCCACTAGATTAAACTAAAACCATATTTAAAGAAAATGAAGGTTAGAAACTTAAGGTAAAAAATTCTAAGATCATTTGACTCAGTTTATCAGACCTCATCCTTGCTGTGGAGAAAGATATGAATTTTTAAGATAATGGTACTGATGGTATTTAAATTATTCTTTGAAAATCCTTAAAAATATGAGATGTTGAAGGTAAAAATTATGACAGCTTTACCTATAAAAAGTCAATGTAACCTCACTGAACTCCTACATTGGAAATTATTATTTGTGAAAAAAATGTTCAAATACAATTTTTCCACTCTTGTGAGTAATTCATTAAAAAGGCATATTCAGATTTGTAGCATATGCAAAATGTATACTTTTTTAACACAAAATGTTAAATAACAAAGTAAAATTTTACAAAGTTAATAAACAATTTTTTTTCTGCATGTCTAGTTCATTTTTGTACATGATGATGTTGTTTTTCAAATCTAGTTTTATAAAAATCAAGAGAAGTTCACATATGAGCATAATGTTTTTGTTATAGTGGCACCATACTCTTATAATTATAATTACAATAACATACACAATTATTTCCATGTAAAATATGTTGTTGTTAGGTGCTGTCAAGTTGACTATGACTCACAGTGACCTTATTACCAGCAATTAAAATATTATTAAAAAATAATTTGCTAGCCAAAGTATCTCTTCTTTTATCTGTCAGACCACCACCCATTAAGAGTACTGGCACAACTTCACAATCTTTCATAATTGGGCTTGTTTTGTTTGAAACATAAGTTTAATTCCTAAAGAATTTAACAAAAGTCCTTGAGTCCTTTAAAGACAAAATCATTCTCATAGAAGATAGCTTACTCAGTAAGATGTCAGTAAGTTCACTTAAGTTCATTCTAGTCATATACTCAAGTTACTGCCATTGAGTCAGAACTTACTCATAGCTGACCCTCCAGCAGATTTTCAAAGGCTCTAAATCACATAGGAAGAAATCACATATCTTGCTCCTATTGAGTAACTTGTGAATTAGAAGTTCTCACCGTTGGATTGGTAGCTCAACTCCCTACCCAGATTCTGATAGGCTTCCAGATTCTGGTAATTTAAGTATGTCCTAAACTAATTCACCTCAGCAAACCAGCATAGCTCATGAAATACCTCAATATACACACACATATTTAACAGCACATAGACGTTCCAACTCCAATTTTTAAAAGCTTCTTAAAAACTGACAAGAGTGATGACTTTCTCATTCATTCATGAGAAACAATTTCAAAGAAAAGAGATCTCCAAATGCAGTTTGTTTTTTTAGGTTCTGGTATGTGATTACCATAAAAAGACAACTTATTAGCAAATCTTTTACAAATGCTGAACAATATGCTCTGATTTTGGGTTTTTAAAATATCCTCACAAAGATTCTGAAAATCAAATGATATGAAGTTGTTAAAAAGGATGACAAAATAAATGCAACATTACATATAATTTTTATTTCACTTGATAAATGTAGAATGTGATGGTCTCAAAACAAATTCTGCAATTACTTTGGTCACAACCGAACAGTTAACAGACTTTGAAGAATATCCTTACCTTCAGTATGTACTCACCTCTACACAGATACATCTACAGAAATCCATGTACATATGTATTAGTTTTCAATAACTAAGGACCACAATTATCTATAATTTTGAGATGATTATACATTGACATTTTATCCATTTTATTTAGGATCTGACCACAAGATCAAAATTCATGCAATGATACTGAGGTTTTTATTAAAAGTAAAGTCAGTTTTTGATCATTCAATGCTATAGAAGTGCACTGAATATCTAAAATAAAACAAGTGCCAATTTAATCATGAATTAATAACATATTTATTATCTTGAAACCAGACTAGCCTGAGTTACTTGTTTTTCTGAATTCATTCACTACAAATGGATTTATATTTCTTGTATCATAAAAACCAAATTTCATTTCTTCTTTGCAGTTAACAAGAGATGACAGGGGGCTCAAGGTAGGTAGGTTCTTGATAATTCAGAGTCAGAAAGTACTTCTTCATGAGCAGAAGGTTCATAATCTCCTGCATTTTCAGCCAATTCAATATCTAACTCATCATTACTTTCTGCACTGTAATCAACTTCTTCAAGGAATCGAGGTTCATCTTCATCCAAAACATACGTGGTAGGGCTGTAGCCAAAGCACACAGAACATACAAGACCTTCATTAGATTTTAAACTTCTGAAGTTAGATTATCTCACCATACTGGATTACCTTTAATTCCAAAATAAAGAATTTAAGTTCTTTTTAAAAACGTGATACAAATGAATAAGTTGAGAGAGTTGAAACTACCTTGTACAGACAACCAGTTGTGAAAAGGCAATTTTTAATAATACTGTTGTTGTTGTTGTTGTTGTTCTTGTTATATGCTCATGAGACGGAACCGACTCATAGCTGACCCTCCAGGGGATTTCCAGGGGCTATAAGGCACATGGTAGATATCGATCCTTCTCCCAAGGAGCCACAAGTGGACTCAAACTTGTACCTGTAACTTGCCAGTGTGACTCATTAACACTAGGCTACCAGAATTTCAAATTTACAAATACACCTCCTACAATAGGATAGAAACAGACAATGGACTTTTTCATGGACTTTTTTGAAGGATTTAATAAATTTGAAGGCTTAGTAGATTTATTTCTGAAGTTCGATTTCAATCACTGTAAAGCAGACAACAATTTCAATAGACTTTATGAGAAATTTTGAGTATTTAACTGGTTCCTTAAGCAATGCACTGAAACCACTTATTCTAAGACTATAAAGTGATTTTCTATCATAAAATAACTGATATACTTGCCCCTAGAGCTTTCATATATTGGTGGTGGGGGGGAATAAAAACAATACAAATGAAGACTGTACATCCAGATTAATTACTTTCCCTTTAGACACAGAATAAAATACTTGCTTAAAAGCACTAAGTGCTTGTTAATATTTCATTAGGTATGGAGTTTAGAATTAAGACAGCTTTAGTACTATGGTCTGTAACATATCTTTTTCTCTTAAAAAATTTCATATTCTGATTTCCCCTCCATTTGTTATTTTTTGTGTGTGTGCACCTGAATGTACACAAACCCCCCTCTCTCCCATCATTACATAAACATTTCATTGTTTACCTTTTGTTATAAAAAATACTTTCACTTTATATAGAAGTTTCTGATTACACCCTAACTACGTCCAAAAAAAAAATTTCCTATGATGTAACTAATAGTCATAAAATCCAACCAATATACTTAGGGGAGCTCTGGTGGTATGGTCTGTAAGGAGTTGCTCTTGGTCCAAATGTGGTGTTTCTCTGGTGGGTCGAATCCACCAGTAGCTCCACAGAGAAAAACAGGTAATCTCTTCCTTCTTCTTCTTCTTTTTTTTTTTATAATTTATAGCCTCAGAAACTTGATGGAGAATCAACTATGAGTCAATTTTGACTCAACAGTAATGAGAATAAATATGTGCTTGTCTAGTTCATGATACTCAGTGTTTTAGATGAAGTATTGTAACATGGCAATGACATAATGATACCCCATGATCTGGTAATTCAAGTAATTAAGGTGCAGCACCCTTAATCTTTATTAATCCCAATGCTATGCAATGCACAGTCCTGATATAAAGGAAGTAAGTTTTCCTGGAGTGTGGACTGCAGCATCTTTTATCTCACAAGAGACAAATGAAGAGAGAATAGAGAGAGAAGGGAAACTTTAGCACCAGCAAGAAAGAAGAGCCAGGAGCAGAGCTCTTCTGTCTGACCCAGCGTTCCTATGCAGTAAAGCTCCCAAATCTAGGAAAAGAATGATGCCAAGATATAGGAAGAACTCCAAAGAGCACAATAAATTTAGAAACTGAAAGAGGACAGGGCTCTTCTTCCAGAAAAGGCAGAGGGGTAAAGACCTACCCCTAGAATCTTGTTTTATTGCTCATTGTCATTGAGTTGGAACTCACAGCTGACGCTCCAACAAGACTATGAATTTTAATCTTGCAGAACAGCTAGTGGATTCAAACCTTTAGGTTGGCAGCACAGCTCCTTACCCACCAGGCCACCAGAGTTTATAAGAAAAGGCACCCAAAATTTTGACTTAGAGCCTCTTAAACTCTGAAGAAATAAACTTCTGTTATGTAAAGCATCTACTTGTGTATTATTACTTTAGCAAAACTAAATATCAAATGGAGGGTTCTGGAGGCATAGTATCTCCTTAAAACCCAAAGGCAGCACTTCTCTGATGGTGCAGCTCTGGGGTAGAAAGATGGGCAATCTCCTCCTGTGGAATTTACAGCCTCTAGAAAGGTGAAAGGTCAGCTATGAGTTGGTTCCAACTTGACAGCAATAATATTTTGTTTTAAAGAGACTCTGAAACTTGTATACTCCCTTCAATAACACAGCTAATAGAATGAAGGACTGTGGACATGACACATGTGGATAGCCTTAGGTTGATGGTTTGATTCCAGCTAGAAAAACTGATGCTTTTCAAAAGGCCCTGGTGGTAGTTAAGCATTCAGCCACTAACTAAAAGGTCAGCAATTGGAGCCCACCAGTGCCTCCATGGAGAATGAGGAAGCAATCTCTTGTCATAAAAATGTATGGCCTTGGAGACTGCAGGGGGCATTCCTACTCTGTCCTTCAGGCTTGCTATGAGTTGGGATAACCTCAACAATAGTGGGGTTTGTTTTATTTGGAATACAAATAATAATCAGCATAGGACCCTGTCTTGATTTTGGTTCCTTCAGTGTAGAGTATTTCACGTCATGAACCACAGCTGCCTCCTGTTAGCACCCATTCTGACACCAAGAAGGGAATAAAATATTCCACAGCTGTTAACTTCCACGAGTAAGGAGTTGTGCTGTCAGCTCAAAGGAAAGTGATTCTAATTCAACAGCTTTTCCATGAGGGAAAGACACACATTCTACTTTGTGGTTTGCAGCCTCTGTAAACAGGTTTGAAGGTTAGCAATGAGTCCGTTGTCAGCTATGAGTCAATTCACTCCAAGACAACAACTGACTTTTTTTTGTCTCCCACTGGCCTTGATATTGGACTTCATTGTCTGAGATCCTAATAAAATTATGATCCTATCCTCAGTTCCATAAAGTCTACCTACCTTACAGCTGAAGTATAGGGAATACATGCAGCAGCTGGGATGCAGCTACCAGTGTTAACTCAAGAACATTAGCAGGAATGAAAATGGAAATGAGAATAGAAAATGTGGAAGTGCAGAGAGGTGTGCGTCAGATGTGTGAACAGGTTTGTGTGAGTGTCACAAGTGTTTATGTGAATGAGAAAGAATAATTTCTAAATCTAGGTTTAAGGGGCTAAGTAAGGAGAGAGGATAGGCAGAAAATCACAACTTCTATCATTCCACTGAACCTACTCTTCAAAATATTATTTCCAATAATTCTTTACCAAGTGTTTGGTGTTTTTTTTTTAAAATTTTATTGGGAAAAACATATTGGGGGCTTTTCCAAGTTTTTTCTACCAAATCTGTATGTCACACTATTTTTTTTTTTATTTTTATTGCATCTCTCTGGTACATTTAACCATGGTGAAAATTCCCCTTCAATCTTGTCTGTCCCTTCCCAATAGTAATCACGTGGCCCTCATGTACGTGCTTCACACGTCTCTAAAGATACTATGTGAGCCAACTTCTCATACTATCTTTATCTTATATCTCTATCTATCAATTTATCTATATATCTATCTATATCTATCCACATACACATACACCAAAAATATCTACTTATTGTTGTCAAGTCAGAACCAATTCATAGCTAACTCTCCAGTCTGTTTTCAAAGGCTGTTACATCGCGTAAGAGGAGACTGTCCATCTTTCTCCTGCAGAGGCACTGGTGGATTTGAACTTCTTGCCTTTGAGTTAGAAGCACAACCCCTTACCCACAAAGCCATCAGAGTTCTCTTTGAATGAGCTTACTAATTTTAATCAATCTTCTGATAATTTCACAATTCACACTTCTAGCCATGACCTATCCTTGAACTTCTAAACAAGCAAAAACTTGCTAGATCAATACACATGGCTATTCCACATGCCCCCACCCAAAACCAGAAGAACCATCTTTCTCCCCAATATAATTTCATGACCTAAATAATCATTCAATGAATCAATTACCAAAAGTTTTGGTAAAACATTCCTGCTAATCAATCTCCTGATATCTTTGCCAACACTGTTATTCTCTGCTCAGGGCATACCGTTTCTACAAATGAGAGGGAGATGGGAAGAGGAAGAGAGAGGAAAGGGGAAGACAAGGATATAGGGAGAGCGAAAATCAAAATGCAGCTAAGACTCACCTTCAAACATACTTCCTTAAAGCTCCTCTTGGCTCTTGCTCTCTATCAGAACAAAAGGTCTAATAATTTATCACATGCAATTAAAACCATATTTCTGTGCCTATCTTCTTCTTGGCAGATAATATATGACACTCAGGTCAGAATTGTGGCTTATCCCTCTCAGAACCTCCTGTAGCAGCTCTGAGAAGTGTCTAACATATTGAGGCCACTGAATAAAGGTTTATGATCTTTTAATGAGAAATTGTGAAGCTCATAAGCTCACCAATTTTTATATCACCCATACCACCTATTTTACTTTAATGAAAAGATTTAAGGCCAGAGACCAATCATAAAATTTCATCTTCACTTTTATTAGTAATTCCAACATACGTTTAGAGCACTTTACAACAGGTTACATGATAATTACAACCCTCACCTAAAAACATTTTTTCAAAGTTATGCTCATTATAGTTACAAAAGTTTCTTCTTTTTATACATGAGCATATAAAGACTCAAATACAGATTCAATTAACAAAAAGAAATGTCTAACAAGAATTTAATTCCTAAAAAAAATAAAATTAATTCCTTCCCATTACCATTACTTTTTCTATCACTACTGCTTTGTGTTCCTCATTTTCTTTACATAAATTTACTACTTTGTCTCAGTCTCCAAGAGTTGCCTTATATACGCCTTTGTTTTAGCATCCTTCTCCTCTAGATTTTAAAGCTTTGAGGTAAAGGTAATGTCAAAAGCAATACACAAGAAACATTTAATTCTAAGAGAAGAACATTTTAGTCCAAAATCAAATCCTCCCATGCTGCTCCAAGAAAAATATCAAAGCCTTCACCCAAAGGGCCTTTTCACAGG